TTCAACGGTGCTTGCTCCCCAGACGGATCCCTGCAGAGGCCGGGGCAGGCAGGGACACCCGTGCAGGTTGCCGGCTCCCTCAGGCGTCCTCCCACGGCTGCGGTGCGACCTCAGCAGTTTCAGCTTTATCAGCACATCAGCCCCCAGCCGCACAGCATCCCTCCTGGCACTGGCATGGCCGAGACAGGAACGAGGCCAAACTTCTCCCACGATGCTTCACCAGCGCTTGTGGTCAGAGGAGGGGAAAGCAGAACTCCCTCTGTGTGCAGCTCGGTGATCCTGGATGCCAAAGACCCTCCAGCAAAGAGCGAGGCAGCTCCAAAGCCGCCTGCGTCAGCCCCGCCATCCATCCTGGTGAAACCAGACACCTCCCGCAACAGCGCCGAAAAGGTACGGCCAGCGGTTACCCGCTGCTTCAGAGGGTGCCCCCAGTCCTCGTGGGACTGGTATTCAGTGTCAGCCCAATATTGACTGGGGCCAAATCCCTTGAGAGCTTCACTCCATTCTTACCAGGTTTTCTTCTGATAGAAATCACTGGGATTGGTACCTGCATTAAGAAATAAGATATTTGTGTTGCTGACTCTGCTGTTCAGGTTAAGCCCTTTAGAAAGGCAAGATGCTGCAGAGACTCTTTCAGTGTAAACCAATGTTCAGTCATGATCAAATCTTGAGACTTTTCTTAAATCCATCTTAAATCAGGCAATCAGACCATCTTAAATCAGGCAAGAATCCCACCGAGATCCCTGAGAGTTTGGGAGTGAATGAGCAAACGCCACAGCCCTGGGTGTTAGACCATATGTCAGGCTGGTCTCTGCAGAGCTTCCCCATCTCCCCCGCGTTGCTTTGGCTAAGCCATTTGGAAAGGAAACTTTCCCCTCTGGCAGCCAGAGAAAAATTTCATAATATCATTCTGCAAATTGTTCTAGTGATGACTTTCCTTTCCCATGGCACCCAAAGAGTAAATCGCTCCACAAGTCCCTGAAAGCCCAACCGACCTTGGAGCTCCCAGGGGGAACATCATCAGCTGGAGAGAAACTGCGGGCTCTCCACGAGGGGCACGGCAGGACAGGCCACCCTCCCTCCTCGTGTCCTGCTGCCACCTGCTCTTCCCCTCCGCTCTCTTCCACTAACTTGGGTGATGGCTCTCTGGACTGACTCTCCTAGGTCTCCGATAGCTGATGGCACTGCTGCACCATGCTGTGCCCTTCCCTGGTGCTCTCTGCCACCTGCTATAAGCTGCACATCACACCGGGCTTCTCCACAGGCATCTTCTGCCCCCAGGAAGGAGCCAGCCACCCCCTCAGCTCACTCCCCCAGTTCTCCAGGGCAGATCCCAGCAAGAGGAGGGTGGGTGGCTGCTTTTCCCAGCATGACTCTGGTCCCCTTCTCCTTGCAGCAAGTGAAGACGGTGAGGTTCCAGAACCACAGCCCCCCACCGCCCAAGCGGCACAGCCTGCAGCCCTCCCCGAGCCTGCCGCGCAGCAGGACAGAGCCAGCAGCCGTGGCGGAGGCTCTCCTGCCAGAAGCCAGCCTGCTGGGCCCCGAGCTGGTGGTGCTCTACTCGCCCAGGACCAGCTCTAGCCCCCTGCACCAGCGACGGGCACTGCACCCAAAGGCGCTGTCGCTTGACCTCTCCGGGCAGCTGACCTTACCTGTCAAGAAGAACTACAGCAGCATTTCTGCAAACTGACAGGGTAACTCCTCCGCTTGCTTTCCTTCACACGCCTGCTCCTCTCCTCCCCCCTGCGAGGGGCGAGCACCCCGGACCCGCACCAGCCTGCCGCTTCCACCGCTCCCCCTCCCGTGGCGAGGGGCAGGTATTCCCCATGTCCCCACGCCACCAGCACCCTCAGGACCTGCAAGTCTGAGGCTTGCAGAGAACTGGGGGAAGTCCCAGGGGAGCGGGACGGGACAGGACAGCATCTATCCCTGCAGGGGATAGTCCTGTCCTGGCCCCCGCTGTGCCAAGCACGGCTGGAGAAGCCCCACTGCCCCGGGGCTGCCGCAAGAGATGTGAACAATGTTTGTGGCACCCACAAAACTGATGTCCTTTGGCGTTGGTAAGGCTGCCTGTAAGGTACTGGAGAAGGAGTGGGAGGGGGAAGAAAGCGTGCAGGTATCAGAAATAGTTAAGCTTGTTTTGATCTCCTCACTGCTGCAGGAAAGCCCAGAGAGATCAAAACGCTGGTTCATTACCTTCCTGCTTCTGCAGGATAAAGAAACCATAAATCAAAATCAGTCAGTTCCTAGCTGACACTTCGTGTTGCCTTTTGAGGGGGGTTCACTCAGATTTTTTTTGTTAGGTTGGTTGCTTGCTTGCTTTTCTGTTTGGTTTTAGTCCAGGAGTTTTAACACAAAATACAGTTTAAAAGGTGATTTGGAGAGGAAAGAGACGTGCCATTACCACAGTCACTTAGACTCTGCAGACAGGGGTATTGGATCTTGCTTCTCCTCATTGCTTGGTTTCCTCTAATTACCTGTCAGCTACCTCCTAGCAGTCCATGAGCTCTCTCCACATCCTTCCCACCACCCACCCATTCAGATATTGCTTTTGTAAATATCCTAAGTGGAATTCACGGGTTTAAGTCTACATGAAGATGCATGAAACATTGTCTAATTAATAGAAAGCAAAATTCGGCATTCACCATGCCACAGACCACCCCTCTGCCACGGCAGCACCAACTCCAGATTTCAGCTGACCCCATTTCAACCATCCTCCTGTGTATCCATGGAAAAGCAGGCAGAGTCGGAGAGCTGAGCCCAGCTCACCAGTTGGGACCGCTCTCCAGCAAAACCATGCACAACAGCTTTTGTTTTTCATACTTTGTTTTTATTGCCAGTTTATAGACCAGCAATTCCCATCCTAGCCACAACCACCAACCGCTAGATCTCCTGACAGCAGTAGCTGTGCTTCATCCAAAGCTGCTGTAAAATCACATCCTTGGTTAACTGCATACAAACCCCATGAAATTAACTCCACTGGTCAACGGAAACTCTCCGAGGCACTGGCACAGCCTCAGAGAAGGACATTTTCTTCTGGAACTAAGAAAAGGGAATGGATAAAATCATTTACTAGTCTACAGCCCCTCTTCTTTTACTCTTGCAGACTTTTTCTGTTTGTGGAGCAGGAAGCTGGCATCTGCCTGCAGGGATTTTCAGTAGCACAGAAAGCACCAACGGCACAGAGAAGTTCTTCACCTTGTGCTCTCTGTCACTATTTAAGCTCCTGCACAAGAATCCTGACAAACTGAAAATAGGCAGTTTGCCCAGGTATAAGAGGTGGTGCAAGCTGCAAATAAGGATGAACATGACTCTCAGCAATGCCGTCTCAGAGACAGTTGAACATCTCAGAGAAGACATGCCGGTTCTTTGCTGAAGACTCCTCTCATCCCTTTAAAACTAAACTAGAAAACCTCAAAAGCCAGCTCTATAGCCAAGAACACCTCCACTTCTCCCAAGCACATTCAGAAATAAATAGAATTGCATTAAGCATGTCCAGGACCAGCTCGGGTAGTAATTTATAGTGTTGGTTTGGAGGGGAAGGAAGGGCTGCCTGCTCACACCTGGCTCCAGATGTGATCACTTACTGCATGCTAATGAGAGGACAGACGGCTTGGTATGACCTGATCTTTAATCTGCTGACAAAGCATCTAATGATTTCAACAGCTGACCTCCATGAGACTCACGAGGACGGTGGCATGGGTGGTTGGAGCTACACAAGAATTAATTATGCAGATGGAAACACTGGCAAAGAAGCAGCAGTAGGAAACGTGACGCCCAGTTGAATACTTGGCAGCGGACGGTGCGCGTAGGGAAGGACGGGGAACTTCTGCGGTTTACTGCCCCCAAACACCAGTGTCCTTGTCTCATGCCAACGTAACAGAGCCAAGGGCTAACGGGACAGCCTTGGCCATACCGTTTGCTGAGCAGGGTGACGCGGCTGGGAGCAGGCTGGGCTGTGCCCTGGGGAGGGGGACGGGCCGATCCCTGTGCACGCACCGTGGCTGATGCCGATCCCTGCAGTTTATGCTCCACTGCAAGAGGCGGCCACAAGCCCCCCGACACAGCAGAGCTCAGTGTCCCAAGAGAGCCAGGAACGAGATGATGAGCCAGGGACTCTGTGGCAGCTCCGATCAAAGATCTTCCCTTGTTATTGGCAATTAACCCTGCCCTGCAAGACCCCGGTGCCTGTTTCATCAGAAGCTTAGAAGGAGCATTCCTCAAGACCAGGGAGCAGATCAATAACTGCTGACGGTCAGGAGGGAGCTCAGTGTAATCTGCATGCAGAGAGGCATTTGAAGATGAGGGGCAAAAAGAAAACAATGAACCATAACTCACCGGGGGCTTCAGACAGATGTACATTGAAGTAAGTCACCTTGTAAATTTAATCTACGAGTTGGGCAGGTTTTCCCACAAGACGCAGGCATGCAAGGCCAGGCAGCAAGGAAGAATTAGAAGTTCGGTTTGGGGCTGCAAAATGAAAAGCTCAGAGAGCAACAGACAGAAGTGACTGCAGCTCCGTTTCTCATGCCTAGGTCCTGCCACCAAAGCCCAGATACGAGGAAAGACAGCACCTCCTTTGGCTCGATTTGTCAGATGTGCTAAGCTTCAGGGGACACCAAGCACATCAGGAAAAGCCAAAGGTGCTCGGCATGCCTTAAGACTTAACAAGCCATAAAGTCTTTCTGGCACATCTGTGCTCACAACAGCCGGATACTGCTCACATTATCAGTTCAGAATATTGCCTTTCATCAAACAAAAGCACCTTCTTATCCTCTCATATCAAGATAAATAGCAATAAGGTTTCACAGCACCCATGCACACTGGGAAGCCTGCAAAACCGTTCAGCCCATTACATGATACTGAAGTCTTAAGACAAACACACCAAAAAGCACCACAAATCTCTCCCGGACTTGGCCCTTAACGCACTGCGTTACGACAACAAGTGACAGCATTGGGCTGATGGGGACGGAGACAGCTCTGACACTCACGCACGCACACGCACAGTCAAAGGCAATGGCAGGGAAAGGAAGCACTGACAGTGAAATTGGTGCTTTGGTAAAAGAGCAGGCAGCTATTTTGGGACAGATCTCTCAGTTTCTTGCACAGGATATTTCAGTGCTTTGATGCTATGGTGATAAATGCCCTAAATATATTCAAAATATGTAGGGAGAGAGAATTGAAAACAAGACATATTTTAAAGCAACAGCTCTAATAAGCATCTTGTTCCCGTAGACATTCCTGCCCACTGGTTTCATACTGCAGCCCACTGAGCAGGATTGCTAAGTCCTCCTCACCTTCTCCACTCCTCCCCTGGCAACACCTAGGACGAAGAACCTGGACTGCGTTATTTCACCAAGAAACATCCCAAGGGAGAGGGACTAGAACTCAGACCTTTCTCTTCCGAACGCCCAGGCTAAAGCAGAACCTCCTGGAGCTAGCCTGGAGCTTCGTCACCAGCCCTGAGCGAGGCAGCGCCCAACAAGCGGCCCTTGTCTACACGGAAAAGCCAATCATGACAGGGAAGACATGGACTGGGTTTGTCAGGGAGCAATTCTCTAAGTGCACCAGACTAAAAACATCTGTTCTGGAACAGTTACTCCAACCACCTTTACTCTGCAAGCAGAATCACCACGCTGGCTTCTTGGAGCATGAGCAAACTTCACATTTTTTTGTTTCAGCTTTGGGCTGCTGATCTGAAGCACACTGCATCTTCCCTGAGGATCTGTTCCAAACTCCTGTCCCTCTCCGGCTGCTGTCATCCAATTTTTATTTTTTTTTTAATAGGGTAGCAATGAAAAGGGAGGCATCACATGTTGGCAGGAGGGTGGTAGCTTTACATGGAGGTGGGCGAGCTCTTCAAGGGTTTCTGTTCTTTTTATATATCTATTTAACTTCCATCCTGTCTTCCCACCATCCAGACTCTCTTCAGCCCATTTCCCCAGTGAAGAGAGGTTAGACATCAGCATTAGGATCCTGTTTTGTCATTCCTGAGCTGGCCAGGAGGGCCCATGGGGGAAGGCCACCCCTTTCCCCCCAGGGATGTCTCTCAATGGTACAGAGAGGCTGGGGGGAGCCCTCTGCAGTCTTCTGTTTTGCCACAAACCATCGCATGAAGCACAGAGTGCAAAGAAAACAACATTATGAAAAGCAAAATACAATTGCAGGTTTGCTGCAGCGTAATGTGCTTCTATAATGAAAATATATTGTTCTCTGCCTACCCGGCTGAAGGCACAAGCAGGCTGATCTGGGCTCTGACCACCCGGAGCATTGCGTTTGTCAGCAGAGCACAGGAAAGGAGCTCTGGAGAAGTGCACAAAGCAGCACACAGGGACCGAGGGACCATTAATGTACCTCTCGCAAGTTCCTGAATTGGGCTTATTTTCTCTATCTGCTCGTTTCTTATGATTAGTTAATGAATTGGAGCCCGAATCAGATCATTCATCAGCTCAGCTTTAATTGCCTGCCTAGCCTGGCAGAAACCTTGGAGTGCTTAAGTAACCTACCTACTGCAGCTTGAACTGCGGTCATGTTTCCTGATAAATTACGAGCAGAGGCAGCAGAGGTAAGAAAACATAACACTAATTCTCTCCACACCCTTCACACGGAGGATGCCTCCCTGCCCCAGCCAGAAGCAACTCATCTCAGACACCAAGGGGGATGCAGAGGAGCCTCCCATCCCAGTCCATC